GAGACACCCTAGCCAGAGAGGCCCTCGAACTCAGGAACGGCGCTTTTGCTTGAGACTTCCTCGCAATTCAGTCAAGTTGGCGCAGTCCCGGCCCCGACGACAAAGGCTCCCGCTCGATACCCCCTCCCGATTCACTCCGAGCGCCCCTGGCCAGGGAGGCCCCCCGCACTCACGAACGGCGCTCTCGCTCGAGGGCCTCTCGGAATTCAGGCAAACTGGTGGAGGCCCCGACATGGCGACAGGGCTTCCCGCCTGGTGTTTCTGCTCAAGAGGTAGTCCGCGAGCCGTGGCCAGAGAGGCCCTCGAAGTTAGGAGCGGCGCTCTCGTTCGAGAATTGCTCGTAGTTCGGTCCAGTTGCTGGAGGCCCAGCCACGACGACACTGGCTCCCGTTTGATACGTCCTGAAGCTGTACTTCGAGCCCCCCTGGCCAGAGATTGCAAGTCAGCCGCGGCGCCGGAGGCCCACCTGCGACGACAGGGGTTCCCGCTCGACACGCCCTCGCAATTTACTCTCAGACGTCCTGGCCAGAGAGGCCGCGAGCCACAGAGGACACAGCCGACAGAAGCTTCAAGCGCGCCCACAGGAGCTCCAGCACGCTGCCCACTGATGCCCCCGGACGCAGCACACAGAGGCCCCAAGCGCGCCCACAGAGGCTCTAGCACGCTGCCCACTGAGGCCCTCGGACACAGCCCGCAGAGGCCCCAGCCGCGCCCACAGAAGCCCCAGCCCACAGAGGCCCCAAGCGCGCCCACAGAGGCCCCGGCGCGCTGCCCACTGAGGCCCCCGACACAGTCCACAGAGGCCCAGAGTAATCCTAGAGAGGCCGTAGCACGCTGCCCGCAGGCCCTCTGGCGCAGCCCACAGATGCCCTAAGCGCGCTGTCGCTCGAGACTTCCTCCGATTCATACAGGACGCACGCTTCAGCAACCCGCCTACTCGACCTGGCCGCCTGGGCCCGCCTTCCCGACCCACTTCTTAGGGTCTACCCACCCGATCTGCCCGTCTTGTTCTGCCACGTACTTTCGGCTCCTAACTCCCCTCCTGCTACTCTCTCTCGCGTGCTCCCTCCTCCTCCCTCCCCTTGTCCCTTCCTTCCATCCGTCCTCTCTTCCCCTGCCTTCGGGGCTGCGCACGAAATTCACGTTGCAGGTCTGACAGATATACCCCCAAGCGGGCACGATCGCGAAGAGGGCGGGTATCGAGGGTTTGGGATATACGTGATGAATGGCCCGCGAGCAGATAAGAACGACCAGTCTTGATATGATTGTTATTGTTGCTGCTCTTGCTGTTGTTGCTGCTGTTGTTGATGATATTTCATTTCTAAAAAGTAATGGTTGCCGATCGCCCCTCCCCAGTAACCATTGTCTTCTTTCATTTGAAGTGCTTCTCCCTGGGCTCGCACCGTGTTGTTTACAAGGGACAGCGTGGTGTTACCAAACTGTGTTGTTGGCCTCCTGTTTATTACAACCACAACAACAACGGCTCCCGCCTGATACTTCCTCACAGTGCTCTCGCGCGAGACTTCCTCACAATTTGTGCTCTCGCGTGGGACTTCCTCGCAAATTCATTCATACGCCATGCCGACGTCCCCGCCGCCCCCTCACTCTTATCCGCGCCTGCGGGGTGCTACTTGTGGGAGCGCTGAGGGTGGCGAGTTATCACTCGGATGCGCGTAAGTCGCTGTTCACGTGTTTCGGCACAAATTGTCAGTTCATGCTGGCGCACCCCAGCGCTGATGGTAGAACAGAACTGAGTTCGGCAGCCCGATGCAGAATCGCAACTCTTGGTTGGCGAATCTCGGCATGAATTCCTTGGTGGGCGCAATCGGGATCCGTGGCGCCCCTCGTCGCACGAGCGCGGCCGCGCGCGCCCGAGGGGCGGGAGGCACGCGAGCAGCGCCACCGAGTGCGCAGCGAAGTGCGCGCCCGCAGATGCCGCGGCCTGTGCTCCCGTGCAGCCCGAGAGGCGCGCAGGGCCGGACCCGTCCGAAGGCGTTCCCTGTGGCGACTGTCAGATGACCAGCGTTGCTCTGACATCGGACAGCGTGACTCCTCCTCTTTCCTCCTCCTCCTCCTCCTCCTCCCTTCTCCTCCTCGTCCTCCTCCTCCTCGTCGTCCTCCTCCTCCTCCTCCTCCTCCTCCCTACTTCTTCCCCCGAAGGAAGGCGCCCCCCTCAAACCATGTACGGTGGGGGCCCATGCAAAGAAGCACCCTGCTGGCCTCCAGGGTGCCCTGGGTCTCTTGGGTGCCGATGGTTTTGCCATGGAACGTGTGACGCTCCCACGCCAAACAACGATGGACGCCCTGGGGTCTCAGGGTTGGGTTTCTTGTGGAAGGTTTCTTGTGGTTGGGCCCCTGCTGTATATTGGAGAGGCCTGACGTCTGGTGCCGCCGACCCTGATCGAAAGGGCTAGGAGTGGGGGGAGGAAGCGGAGGATGAGGAGGAGGAGGAGGAGGAGGAGGAGGAGGAAGAGGAGGAGGAGGAGGAGGAGGAGGCAACGATGGACGCCCTGGGGTCTCAGGGTTGGCTTTCTTGTGGAAGGTTTCTCGTGGTCAGGCCCCTGCTGTACATTTCATGCGGCGGGGCGCCGAGGGTGCTCGATCAGCGAGTTGGGCATGGACCCTCGTCATGACGGGCGCAGGCGAGCGGAGGGGACTGAGGCTCAAGAGACTTTGCGCCAAACCCAGGCTACGGATGCGCGGACTACCCCTGAGCCGAGGGCCCGAGCAAACCTCCAGAAGAGAATTTGCAAGGGGCAGGGTCTCGAGGCTCGAGCGAAGCAGCCTTAGGATCCGGCATACGGGCGCAATCGCGACCTCGGCTGAAGCACCGAGACTTCAACTGCACCAGGGCTCCGACGGAAGTCGACGGAAAGTCACGCGTGGGAGAGGTGACCGACATTGAAAAACATGCCAGATTGCATGCCGATTGCGCTAGTGGCAGGATTTGGGGACTGCGTGGTTTGCGACAGCATGGCCGAGGGCGGCAGGCAGGCCGCCGTCGACCGGGTCCTTGGCGTATATCCAGAGCGGCCCGTGGGCACCTGCTCTTCGCGACGGGTGTCCAGCTGGGCATCCAGAGCGGAGTCCGCCGGGTTGGCGGGCGGGCGGTCGCCGGCAGAGGTGCGGCCCGAGCAGTGGGATCGCTGCGGGGGTGAGCGGGCTTTGCTGCCGCGCCGTGCGGCACCATGAAGCTCGCGCCCCGTCGAAGACGAAGAAGAAAGCGCACCTCGCTGGGCTGCCGCGGAGTAGATTTTGTAGACTAACAAGTAGCACGTGCTGTACATTGCAAAGAAAGGTCGGTTGAGTGGAAATGCGTTGTTGTTTGCTCGCTGACCTTGGGTCGCGCATGCGCATGCGGGACCCTTAATCGCATGTGTGGCGCTCACGAGGTGTTCGCGGCATTTGAGAGGGGGGAGCGACGCCTGCCGCGATTATCGACGCTTGGCCCATGTAATGGGCGATGATTTTTCGGTTTTGCGATGGCAGCCTTTCACTCGGGTGATCCAGCGAGGAAGACTGCCATGTGGGGCCGATGGTACACACAACATGGTCGTAGTTTGATCGGGATGCGTTGCTCTCATGGGCGCTGAGATCAGAAGGGGCGTTCAATGGGCGACCTTTGAGAACACTGAGGCTAGGGACGAGCAATATGTGCGCCCTGGCCTGCGCCCAGGCGTCATCGCACTCGGCCGCGCAGGTGCCCGTGACATGTTTACGTATTTTTCCCCACATGTTTCGTGGGGTTCTGGTCTTCTTCCTTGCCGCGGCGCACCCGCGCCTCCTCACCTCCCCTCCTCCCCTTCTCCTTCTCGCACCAGAGCGAGTGTGCAGCACAGCACAGCACGGCACAGCACAGCACAGCTCACCGCACAGCAGCACAGCACAGCACAGCACAGCATAGCACACAGGGCATTCCTTCGACGCCACAGGGGGTGCGCTGGGAGGTGGGGGCCCTATGCGTTGTAGGCTCCCAGGGCGTGGCAGGCGTGGCATTTCCTCGACGCCACAGGGGGTGTAGGCTCCCAGGGCGTGGCAGGCGTGGCATTTCCTCGACGCCACAGGGGGTGCGCTGGGGGTGGGGGCCCTATGCGTTGTAGGCTCCCAGGGCGTGGCAGGCGTGGCATTTCCTCGACGCCACAGGGGGTGCGCTGGGAGGTGGGGGCCCTATGCGTTGTAGGCTCCCAGGGCGTGGCAGGCGTGGCATTTCCTCGACGCCACAGGGGGTGCGCTGGGGGTGGGGGCCCTATGCGTTGTAGGCTCCCAGGGCGTGGCAGGCGTGGCATTTCCTCGACGCCACAGGGGGTGCGCTGGTAGGCAGCAGCGGCAGCAGCAGCAGCGGCAGCAGCAGCAGAGCAGCAGCAGCAGAAGCAGCAGCAGCAGAAGCAGCAGCAGGAGGAGGACACCGAGGAGGAGAAGGAGGAGCAGCAGCAGAAGCACCGATGGTACACATGGGACATAAAATAGGTATGTGGGGTTCCTCGGTAGCGTAATTTTTCGAACTGGTCGGGTTCCCCTCCTCGTCTTCCTTTCCCGTAAGTAATCCTGAGCTCCTTCTCTTCGCCCTCTTCCGTTTCATCCCCCTCGTCTTCTTCCTCTGCAAAATCTTGCTCTTCCTCTCATTCTTCTTTTCCTTATTCTCATCGTCATCGTCATGGCCGTTGCTGTCGTCGTCGTCGTCCTCCTCCTCCTCCTCCTACTTGCTTTCCATCTCCTTATCCTTCTCCTCCACCTCATCCTTCTCCTCCTCCTCCTCCTCCTGCTCCTCCTCATCCTCATCCTCACCCCTCTCTTCATCTTTTTTCTGCTGCTGGTGTTCACTTTTCTGTTATGGGGAAAAAGGTTGTGGAGCATCTTCTGACCTTCTCGATTTCGGAGGCCTTCGATACGACAACCACCCTCCCCCCTTATGCGACAGGAGGCGTGGGCGGAAGGAGGGAGTGGGGGGAGGGTTGAGCTGGTGGGTGCAGCGTGCGTCTTCTTCTTCGCGGCCCCGTGAGGCGGGGCGTTGACTTCGAGTGCCTCCCGAAGGATGCCTGGAAGCGGCTGATGGCCGTCTACCGGGGCGGCCCCGAGGTGGCGCGGCAAGCGGTGCCCCTGGGAGGGGGGGTGCAGGCATAGCGGGCGCAGCGATGTCGCCGGTGTCCCCCCAAGCGGCGAGGGGGGATGTCGCCCCGCTGTCCGCTCATCCCTCCCTCATCCCTCCCCCTCCCGCGTTCACCCTCCCTCCTCGGTCCTCCATCCCCCCCCCTCCTCCTCCTCCTCTTCTTCCTCCTCCTCCTCCTCCTCCTCCTCCTCCTCCTCCTCCTCCTTTTCCTCCTCCTCCTCCATCCCCTCCTCCTCCTCCTCCCTCCCTCTCCTCCCCCTCCTCCTCCTCCTCCTCCTCCTCCTCTCTCCTCCTCTCATCCTCCTCCTCCTCCTCCTCTCTCCCTCCTCCTCCTTCTCCTCATCCCCCTCTCCCTCCTCCCTCCTCCGCCTCCCTGCGCCTCCTCCTGCGCTCTCCTCTTTCCTCCCTTCCTCCTCCTCCTCCTCCTCCTGCTCCTCCTCCTCCTCCTCCTCCTCCTCCTCCTCCTCCTCCGCCTTCTCTCTCCGTGGCCGTTTTGGCTCGAGATGCCGGCAACGACGGGGCTCCGCCCTTCCGTGCCTGCAGGGGTGCTGGCAGGGCTGTTCAGCCTGGCAGTCTTCTCCGGCCTTCCCTGCAGAATGTGGGCTCCCGCGCCTGCAGTGGCGGAGGAGGAGGAGGAGGAGGAGGAGGAGGAGGAGATGGAGGGACCGCCAGTGGCATAACAAGACGCCCACCAAACGGAGGAGCCCGCGCCCATGCGTTGAGAGCCCCGCGTCCCCCGATGATCAGTGCTGGAAAAACGGATGTGTCTGCGGCCCACGGACTTTCGGCCCCAGTCCAGCAAGATGGGTCGTGCTGTCTCTGCCGCGATCGATTCTGCCATGGCTGCCGCGACGGCTGCCATCATCGCCCACGTCGGCGCAGAGGTCACCACGTTGCAAAACGAGATGGGGGACTGCTTTGTGGCAGTGTCTGGGCGTCGGGGCGCATTAGCAAACGCGAATGAGAGGATCAATGACCTTACGACGAAGATGAATGGCCAGCAGAAGGATCTTGATCAGGTGAAGTTTGCTGATACCCGTTCAACATCGACAGGAAGTAACTAGCTCACCCATCATAATGGGATCATCGATCTCGGCGAGCATTTTGCCGAACGGAAACAGGCGTGAACCTGGAGCCGACCAGTCCGACGATAGCAACCCGCAGCTCAAATGCGTAGGCACATTTCCTCCTCGACCAGTCCTCCAGTGTGTAACTACGGGAGGCCCCGCGGCGACAATTACAGCAACGATTCCCGCACCACCATGGGTCAGGGGCCACAGCGAAGCTGCATGCTGCAAGTCAACGCTACAGGCCTGGTCGTTCCTTAGGCTTGCATGCGTCATGTACCGTTCCGTATGCTTTTTTCTATATATCGTTCCGTATGCGTTATTCTTTGGAAGCAAAAAGGATTCGTTCCTTATCTATCGTTCCTTCGGTCTGGCCGGGGACTATGCTCCATCTGTTTCGAGACCTCGCTGCCCGCGCGTGGGTTCTCCCAGGGGTGCAGCAGGGTTGGCACGAGCTGCACAGATCCGAAGGGTCATGCACAACGCCCACTGCGCACCAGATCTGACCTGCCACGCGACGCACGGCAGAGACGAGCGAGCGTTTCATCGTCTCTACAGCAAGGTAAAGGACGTGCACCAGAACAGTAGAAAGTGGTGGGACGCTTCATGCCGTCTCGGAGTGGATGGCTTTACGAGGCAGCTACGCGTACCCACTGATGAAGATGTGTGGAGTCTGGTCGCTGCCACGCCCAGCACCAAGAGAGGCGAGATTGACTTTTTCCAGTTCCACCTGAAAGTGAAGGACTGCAGCGACTGGGGCATCTCATCCGAGCAGGCCCTCGCTGCCATCGAGGCTTCCGCCATGAGCACTTGGCGCAGGACGGTTGCTTCACTTAACGGTTGACCACATGGACAACACAGACATCTCGTGGGACAGCCCGCACTCGGTCTCTCCGTTCTCCCAGAGATAGAATTTGCTCTCCAACGATTACCTCAAGCTCTTCATTCTCTTCTTCTTTCTTTCCTGCTTACGGGACTTTGTTGTCTGCGGGGGATTGCAAGATCCGGTTTTCCACCAGCTCTGGGTAATCAAATGTTCTTTCTCTTCCTTTTCTTCTTCTGAACATGGGAATGGCTGTCTGCCACACTATCCGCGCACTCGTTTGGGGATGGCCAGTTGTAACTGCTACATGTTTTAGGTCATTCGACGGGGATATGGTGACACAGATGCGTACATACGCCTGCTTGTAAGCTCTCGTCGCTAAGTATGACATAGGTTCCTTGCAGGAAACTCACGGGCATCTTGGGGGTATCACCACGCTTGCGCGGAATAACGAAACACATGTGCATTGCGGCTTCGCTTGACACCCGGTGGGAAGGGAAGGAGTTGCGGTGTCTGCGGCGAGATCTTTTGTCATCCTGATGAAGGGCTGCATCTCTGCATTCACTGTTCATTCCTCCGTTCGGCGGCTTCAGATCTGCAGCGCTCACTTTGCACCAGGTATTCCAGAATCCCAGATGAAGGTTCAGCTGACAGCGATCAAGTGTCGAATGCACCCCACCTCCCATGGTGCTGCACTTCACATCTGGAGATTTCAAGTCTCTCGAGCTGGGCGAGGCTCGGCTCCGAGTTCATGGTGGCCCTGAACGATCAGCCCGCAGCCGGCTGGCCAATGCATTGGTTGAGCGGATTGCGATGGTGGGGGAGAAGATCCGACTATCTTTCATTTCTCGGGCTCGCACTACAGATCCTTCAACGGAAGCACGTCTGATCGGATATACTCTTCGATTCCCACCGCGGACCTCCTCGACCTCTAGCCCCGGAGTGGCACGGACGGGCCAGGACGAGATTCGACGAATCCCTAGGACCATGCTCCTGTATGCCTTCGGCTCGCTCCTCTTCTTTCTCGGCCCGAATGCCCCATCACTCCTAGGTCCTAGGTGGACCGCTCAACTCGAACGGTTCCGCGGAACCCTTGGCGAGCATCTAGTGGGCGAAGACATATCGCAACATCCGCCCGAACGGCTCGTGGAGATGAAGAATGGGCGTGGCATGCCGCTGCGAAGAATCGGATTTCAGCGTTTTCCCTGGGAGGTCGGACCGCTGCTGAACAAAAAACTCAGCCGCGCAAAACTCTTGGAACCCGCTCGGTCTGCCCAGGGGAAGGCGTGCCGTCAGGCTTTCAAGGCCTACCCGCTCCTCGCACAGTTCTTCGAACCCGGCGCGGATGTCTGGCTTGTCTCCAGTTCCTCGTGCGCCCGGCTCTCCTCTTCGATGCGTGAGGTACCTGATGAGTGCGGGAAGGAGCTGAGTGTGCGCCAGCTTCCTGTAGAGGCGCGTGACTTTCGCATTGCTCGAATGAAGCGTCTTGGGAAGGCTTGGAGGGCTTCTTGGCGGCTGATTTCGCTCACTGCTCGCGTCTGTCCTGATTGGTGTGCGCAGACAAATCCCCGAGCCTGTGCTACCACGCATGCTGAATTCTGGTCGGCCGGTTCTTGCCCCGGTGAGCCGAACATGGAGAATGCCAACAGTTTTCTTGATCTGGTCCCGAAGATCCACCCAGGGCGACTACCAGTGCGCCACTGCAGACCACCAGGGATACCCCCGAGTGCTTAATCTTGATGTATTTGGGTATGTACTGCATTCGCGCGCTGGCTGTGATCATGGCTCTGACGGGCTACCACAGTATGCCTGGCAGTGTAACCAGGCGGTGGAGCAGGCACTCTACCAGCGCTACGTGCGCACGATGTCGGGAGGAGTTCTTCACGATTCCCTTAACGTCTGCAAGCTAGTCTTTCTGCTCGAAGGAGGGGAGCGAAGAATGACATGAACATAAAAGCTCGGAGGTCCGCGAGGATTTCTCGGATCGGCGCCAGACCCCCCCTCCCTGGCGCGCGGAGCGCGCCAGGCTGGGCGGCGCTGGAGGCGCCCCCAGGGGGTCCAGCGCGGATCCGAGCAATCCGCGCGGACCTCCGAGTTTTTATGTTTCTGCCACTCTCCGTTCCCATATCAGTGGACGTAAGACCCGGGTACAGGGGACTCGGAAATCCCCGACGAGGTCGTCAAAAAAATGACGAGGCCGAGCCTGCATCTTGACGAGGCCTCCCGCTGCAGACATCCCACGAAACTCCTCCTCGTCGAAATCCGAGGCGCGGTCGTCAAAAAACGATGGCGAACCCGAGCCCTGGCAAACCCGGGTCTTACGCTCCCCCGATGTCATACTGACGTCTGCAAGCCTGTCCCGCTGCCTGAAGGGAGCACCTCTCTCGGCGGCAGAGCGACGACGCCGGCGGCAGCGGCCCGGCCCCCGGGCTCCGAGCAGCACGGACCAGCAGCTGGTGACCTCCCGCCTGGCCTCTGCCCGCTCGAGCACGCCGTCCAGGAGCGGCCCCACGGGATCCAGCGCGGCCTCATTGGAGGCCGAGAGGGGACGTTCACTCCTCCTCCTCCTCCTCCTCCTCCTCCTCGCCCCTCCTCCGCCTCTCCTCCGCCGCCCCTCCCCCTGATCCGCCCCGTCGTTCCAGTCCAGCCCTGCTCCGTTTGTTCCCCCCTCCCTTCCCCGGCCCTGCTGCTGCGCCCTAGGACGTTGACAGCGTTTATGACTTCGAAGGGTCGCTTGCCCAATGGGGAGTCCTGGATGGCGGGAGACGGAGCAGGAAGTCGCACCGTCGACCTGAAGGTGGCGTTCGCATGTGTATTCCAATTGTTGTTGAATTTCTTGTTCACGGGGCATATGGCGTGCTTCAGATTATGATCTCTGCTCTTGGAGCTCTCTATAACAATGTGGTCTGCAATCTTTATTCATTGGCTCTAAAAGAGTCAGGGGGCTCTAACAGAGCGGTAATCGACAGGGTGCCCCCTCAGTGGAATCCTGTGGGTACCCCCTGATGCGTTCCCTAGGCAACGCGCAGCTTCGCCATGCGCGCCCCCCCTAAGAATTTGCCGACGACCTCTCCACGGTCGTCTACAACATGTCCGAAGAACCTCCATCGGTAATACGAGACAGTCAGGGCTTCGGGCCCACGTCAGGCCTAGTTCGGAGCTCCGTGAAGTGCATGGTTTTACTATTGAAGCAATGGCCGCTTGACCAGATTACTCAGAAGTTACTCCAGATTCCGTAATAAAAGGGAGGGGGTCTGGACCCTCCAAGGCAAGCCATTTCAGACCCCCCCCCGTGGGAGAACCCTCCAAAACATCGTCCCCAGACCCCCCCAGGCCCTCCAAGATAGCCTGGAAGAGACCCCCCCCGAAATGAGACCCCCCTCCCTTTATTACGAAATCTGGAGTACGCACATGGCCTCGAGATCTCCGATTTCGACCTGTTGGACCCAGTCTCGCCTCTCGACGTTCCCACTGGCCGCGAAGCTCGGGGGCGAGCTCGGCAGCCCGTGGGCAGCAGGACGAGGAGCCGATCGGGGGAAGTCACAGGGCTCGGACTCTGGCTCGCGTCGTCCATCGTCGTCTTCAACCACTACTTCACCACTCACCAAACCACCCCGACCCAACCCGAAGGCCTCAATTTGACCTCCATTTCCAGTTGGGGGCGGTAGGGGAACATCGAGAAAACACTTATGGAACCCGTACCCTCCCCCCCAACCCGAAATTCGGGTCTTCGGGTTGGGTTGGGGTGGTCTGGTAGGTAGTCACTACTGTGCCCCGATTCCCTCCCGCATCTCCCAGTTCTGCCCAATCGCGAGGAGAGGCCTGCACGATGATGAGGAGAGGCACCGACTGCTCACGCGCTTCCCTCGACACTCGTTCCCGCCAGCGGCCTTGAAGCGCCTAAAAGCATTTAGCCATCCGGTTAAGTGCCGCGACCTGGAGGTTTCGTCCAAGGCTGCGACGAAAAGATGTGTACATATGTATCCTGGAGACCCTGCAGAGCGATCACATGGTTTGGAAGTTGAGCCCGTATCTTAAGGAAGCCATATTCTTGGATATTGTATATAACCTACGTTTATTATTGAGTACCCTGTGGCCCTGGAAGAGGTACCCCCAAATGAAGTTCAGGCCAAGGTTCCCCACCTACTACTCGGGCCCTTGGAGAAGGCTCTTGAAGGAGGGATCTGCACGCCAGGGGTGCGCCTCCTCCTTCTCCTCATCCTCCTCCTCATCTCCTCCTTCCCTTCCTCCTCCTCCTCCCCCTACTCGTCGTCCTCCTCCCCCTCTTCCTCCTCCTCCTTCTCCTCATTGTCCGTCTCCTTCTCCCACAAGCCTCAGAGACGCGCGTCAGTAGTGTTCGCGCATGCAGCAATGGTGCTGAGAGAGGCGGCAAGGCGAGGCGGGATAGGGAAAAGCAGCTTTTGCCATGCGGGTTGAGAGGCAGGAATCGATGGACAACGTCGGTCCCAAATCATGCATCTCCAAAGGGCATGTGGGTGCATCGTGGAGAGACCCATGAGGCCAAGACAGTAGCAAGGTTGCAGGACGCCAGATTGCAGTCAGGCGGTGCAGGTGCAGGCTCCGGATGCACAGGCATTGACGCTTCCCGAAATGCACCACGCTCGACAAGAGCGATGGCGCTACGGCCGAAATCGAGCGCAGGAACCCTACTCCAGGGGCTCACCAAGCACATGGGTGGTGGTCATGCAAGGCGCGGGCGTTTGAAGTGACCAAGGTCGGCAAACCATATATATATAGAGAGAGAAAGAAAGAAAGAGAAAGAGAGAAAAACACATAGAGAAACATAGGGAGAGAGGTAACACTAACGCACGCCAACATCAGTGCCGCACGCAGACAAGCACTGTCGAGCTCAAGCTGCTTCCACTCTGACGGCGACGTCGCGTGAATTGCCCACGGCGCATCGCTGATCATCAACGCCCTGTCACCCCCCCTTGGCATCGCAACAGGGGGGGGTCAAAAGGTTCGTGAGGGAACCGCTATCAGCCTCACCTCCCTGCCAGACAATACCAAACATGCGCTGAAGTCCCACACCGTCGCAGTTCTCTCTCTCTCTCTCTCTCTCTCTTGTGCACGCCGGAGAGAAACACGGACGAGACGAACGCGTCCATTCCCAGCAGTCGGGATGAACGCTTCAAGCCGTCCTGGCGCGAGGCGGGCGGCTATCGAAGCCCACTGTGCACTTGGCGCCTGCATGCTGGGAGAGGGGGACGTGTTAACACCACGGGGGGCGGGGGGGTCCCCGGCCCGAACCACCGCACTGCAGAGGAGGAGGAGGAGGAGTGAGAGAGGAAAAGGAGGAGGAGAGGAGGAGGACGGAGGAGGAAAGGAGGAGGAGGAGGAGGAGGAGGAGGTAGGGGGAGGAGGAGGAGGAGGCGGAGGAGGAGGAGGAGGAGGAGGAGGAGGAGGAGGAGGAGGGAGGAGGAGGAGGGGAGGGAGGGGGAGAGGAGGAGGAGGAGGAGGAGGAGGAGGAGGAGGAGGGGGAGGATGCGGAGGAGGAGGAGGAGAGGAGTAGATAGGAGGAGGAGGAGGAGGAGGAGAGGAGGAGGAGAGGAGGAGGAGGAGGAGGAGGAGGAGGAGGAGGAGGAGGAGGAGGAGGGGACGGAGAGGAGGAGGAGGAGGAGGAGGAGGAGGAGGAGGAGGAGGAGGAGGAGAGGAGGAGGAGGAGGAGGAGGAGGAGGAGGAGGAGGAGGAGGAGTAGAGGGGGAGGCGAGGAGGAGGAGGAGGAGGAGGGGGATGACGGGGTGGGGAGGCGGAGGAGAGGAGGAGGCGGGGCGGAGGAGAGGAGGAGGAGGGAGGAGGAGGAAGTCTGGGGACCGACGTGCTGCGTCCCGTGGCCGCCGCGGGGCCCCCCCTTCAAGGCAAGCACGGTGCGCCCACAAACCCAAAAAAAGGGGCCATGGGCCGCGGCCCTCCTTCCGCACGAGCCCCCGGAGGAGGGACGAGCCCCGGGAGCCGCACCTGCCCCTGCTGGTTGCGCGCCGCCCCGCTCCGCACCCCGCCCGTCCCCAGAGGTGCGCGGGGCGGGCGGGACGTGCAGGTCGAGCTCGGCGGCTCCCGCCGCGGGCCCGCGCGCACGGCGCCGCGTCGGCCTCCAGCGCGCCCGCCCGCCGCCGCGGCGTGCGGAAGCCCCGCTGTCCGCGCGGGCCGGCGACGGCAGGAGCTGGCGGGGACGCCAACGGGGGTCGGCCTAGGGGGCCACCTGCGAACCCTACCCCTCCCCCCCACGATTTCTGAGGGGGAGGGTGGGGTTCACTTCGTTCGGGAGCTCCCGAGCGAAGTGAACCCCCCCCCTCCCCCTCAGAAATCGTACGGGGTAGGGGTAGGGTTCGTATCTGGCCCCCTATCGACCGGCACGGCGGGCCGAACGGCGGCCCAGACCTCAGATCTTCACGGAGCAACGCAAGTTTTTTTTTTTTTCTCCCGCGTACGGCACCTGTGGGCCCTCGCTGGGCCCCAGCAGGGCCGCGAAGCGATCCGGGTCGAAAGCCCGGCATGTATCGGGGAAGTGGTTCAGAGCTCCGGGGGCCCGCAGGGAAGACATCAAGACACTGGGGGTATGGGGATGACAAGAGGGACCCTTCGCCAGCTGAGTTCGGGCTATAATGTGGGTTACCCCTGTGAGCGCGCACCAGATGCCGGGGTCGCTGGGGTAATCCGGAGCAGGTCCAGGCGCACGGGCAGCTCGGAGCAGGTCGAAGCGCGCAGGGCAGTGCTTCGGGCACCCGGTGCCCGACGCATTGCCCTGCGCCGTTGGATTGGGCATCCCCGCAGCACCCTCAAGCCGTGCACCAGAGGTCACTCCTTGCCTGGGGTCACCCCTGCGTGCAGCCGATGGCGGCGGGGTGCGTCGGTCGCCCCTAAGGGGGCCCCAGGGGCGTCCTCGTCCTCGCGGGGGGTCAGGGTCGGGCGGGCCGAGGGAAAGGATGAGTCGCTCTACAGCGTTCCGGAACGCTCCTGGCAGCGTTCCAGGGCGCTCTCGAACGGGCGTGGAGCCCGATGTGTCCTCCAGGAGGTGGAGGAGTAGGGAGAGGAGGAGGATGAGGAGGAGCATGAGGTCAGTCAATCAAAGCCGTGTGCCAAGAGGCAGATGAGCAGTATGGCGCACTTACCGCGCCAAGCAAAATGAACGCACTGCTTGCTTCCAGTCTCGAATTGGGATGTGCATACAGTGTCGATCAAAGCTTTACACGTGGCACGTACGTCTCTTGCAACTTTGAACAACTCGGCAGACCAAGTGTGTCGCGG